GAATATATTTTTTTTAATTTTCTGATTGTCATTCTGTGTTTTTATGTGTTTGTGAATGTCCTGGTCGTCACTCGGCAACAGAACCTTTTGGTAGAGTTGTGAGAGAGTGACTGCTTAGATTACTGGAACTTGTTTGTGATTTAACAAGTCTTGTGTCTCGAGTCCTGTTGGTCTTGGCTCTCTGTATCAAGACGAGTTTATCATCATTTAATACCTAGAAGAATATATATCGAATCTTACCTTCTTACTCTGAAATAAGATTCAATATTAGCTAATAATGAGTAAAAACTTGTTGGTGTGTAACTTCCTGATTCAGAACTTACTTGATTTTGATAATTTATTGTCGTAATTTAAGAACTTGTCCCCTTTCTTGATTTCCTGCCTCGCTTAAAAACGTGTTTCCAGTTAATCAGTCACAGATCCTCTAAAAACGCGTTCGTGATCGGGCAAGTTGACCTCCACCAAGGAGGGGGAAGGTGAAGGAGGGGGGTGAGAAATCGGTCAGGGACATTTGTGTAATGACAACAGTGGTGGGGGGGGGATGGCTTCCAGCTTTCCCTGAGGCCCGATGAGTCATGAAAGGTTTGCCGCTGGGTCTCGGGAAGGCCCTCGTCGATAGAGTGAAGGAGTTCCCTCGTCTCGTCTCCTCTGTGAGGCTTAACAGAGTATGGGAGGGAGGGAGGGAGTACAGGGAGGGTAGGGGAGGGAGGATTCGTCATAAGAACAAAAAAATTCAAGACATCCATTACACTGTCATATTATGGTAATGGAACTGACCGTGACCCCAGCGTGTTGATAGTGACCTGATCTACGTCCAATTAACTTTTACTACTTCCCTGACCACAACCATCACAACAAATTAACTCCCTGTTAGCATTTGTCTGTCTGTCTACTCAGGATAATGTATCTATCCACTCAGCCTCCGGTACACATGGACACCCTTGGGCCGACACTGCACTTAGCGCTTTCTTCATCTGTAAAGTTAGGTGCTCCAGGCCCGAACCACCCCACCACACCAACCACAGCACACACGCCACCACAGCACACACGCCAGTAATACCATTCAAGGGACCTTCACATTTGTCGTGTCTTAAGGTTGCGACAAACACTCGCACTGTCGGCGGCGTCTTGGTGATGTTTTTACAACCTTCAACGACACGTCACACCGGCAGGCCTTGAGGTGTGACGGCTGTGAACTGTGGGTGTGGTGCAGGTGGGTGTGGCAGAGAGAGGATGTGGCAGAAGGTTGTGTGGTGTGGGAAGATGTGGCGAGGGAGGGTATGGGAAGGGAAGGTGTGGAAGGAGGGTATGGCGTTGGAGGGTGTGGCACAGTAAAGGAAGAGATGTGGCCAACAAAGGGGAGGGGCGGCATGGTAGGGGGAAGGGCGGCATGGTAGGGGGAAGGGCAGCATGGTAGGGGAGGGCGGCATGGTCGGTAGGAAGGGCGGCATGGCGTGGTTCCTGAGGTAAGGAGGAACCTTATGATTGCGGTGGTCATGGAAGGGAAGGAGAGAGAGGATGCTGCTGGCCGGAGGATGCAGAGACAAAGGTGGTGGTGGTGGTGCTCATAGACTGGGGTGTCATTGAGGTGCCGGGCAGGGAAGGTGGAGAGAGAGAGAGAGAGAGAGAGAGAGAGAGAGAGGTAGAAAGAACGGAGGAAAGAGAGGCTGAATGATGGCCAGGGTATGGGACAAGGAGAGATGACAAGCAGGTCACACGGAGGAAGGGAAATTAAAAAAAAATAGTTCTGCCAATAGTTCGAGGAAGAGAGAAAGAAAAATAAGCTAAACTTAAAGAAAAATGAAGAGGAGGAATATATTAAGAAATACCAAAGATTTCACGAGTGTAGTGTTGGGGTGTTGGTTACATCATATCCTTGAATAGCAGGCGGTGGTATCCGTCAAGTGTGTGTGTGTTTACATTTCGCGGTGATTGTGATAGGGTGAAGGCCGAAAGATTTTAATTGACGCCTAAAGGTTCTACACTGTCCTGTTTCGATAATTCATTAGCTCAAAGATTCATTTAGTCTGAAGTCTTATGTTATGATTTGCTTCTGTACCACTATGATCAACACCAATACCACCACCAATACCACTATGATCAACACCAATACCACCACCAATACCACTATGATCAACACCAATACCACCACCAATACCACTATGATCAACACCAATACCACCACCAATACCACTATGATCAACACCAATACCACCACCAATACCACTATGATCAACACCAATACCACCACCAATACCACTATGATCAACACCAATACCACCACCAATACCACTATGATCAACACCAATACCACCACCAATACCACTATTATCACCACCACCACCACCACCACTAAAAATAATATTGTCTATATCATCAGCTCACTTGACATAATGATATACAAATAACATGAAGAGACGTATATGAATATTGACATGATTATATAAACTATCATTTGTGTTACTCATTATTACCTAACCTAACCTAACCTACCTCCCAAGTATAGCATTATGGGCTTTAAATCATCAGTTGGTCCTCGATTTCTCCTTCATAGTTTTAATGAAGATTTACTCACTAACATCATTAAGGAGTCATATAGTAAACACGACAGGAACCAACCACCATCAGGAACAGGACGTGTTCACTACAGGTATGACAATGGCTCTATAAGAGGTGGTGGTTTCGGCGGATTGTTCTATTTCCGTCTTGAATCTGTTGGGACAGAATTCGTTCATTCCTTTAAAATTGTTGAGTAATTTTACTGTGATACAGTGATTGTAAAGGAAACAGTAATTAGAAGTTGAAGTTTCGTTAATAAACTTTAGTGATTGTAAGTTGAAACTGATCGTGAGCGAAGCAGTGAAAGGTAACGCAGTGATTGAAAGACAAAAGTGATTGTAAGATGTACCTTGTTCCCAGTTGGTTTGTAAGATGTTTCTTGTTTCCAGTTGGTTATTCCACTTCCTTCACTAATATATGAAATACCGAACTGAATATTGAAACAAGGTATAGTGAGGAATATCGTATCATTAATGACTCTTGACAGCAATTACACTTGTTGACATTTCGCAGCATCATTGTTAGTTACAGTATGGCGAGTCATCTACAGTGTGGTGACATTTATGATTCACGGGAGGTCAAGGCGTCTGTTGTCTTAATTGCCTCTACGTGTCGTGTTGCCATTATTATTTGTTTTATATTTAAGATTCGTGTATTTTGGTGGTCAAGATTAAGTAGTTCATGTATGATATATTCCACCACTTAAGATAGCGTACGTTTATTTAACCCAGCGTGCTCTGACTACCGGAAGGAATCTGAATTGTTTAAGGGAAGGAAATTTTAACGTTTTCTAAACGAGTTTCCGCAAACTGGTTTGAGAACAAAAGGTCGCTCACGTTATTGGCTAATGTGTGGTGCAGGTGAGGCCGCGGGGTTTCCCCTTCTCTCGTACGTTGTTTAGGGATGCTTCCCCTTGGCAGGGAAAAAGAGACAAATATTTTACGTTCACCTTACAACACTGGCTGCTGTTAAACCATCGGTCGATCTTTAAGTTTAAGGTGCTATAAATCACCCGTAGTGTAACTCAGATTAGAATGTCCTAGAATACCTTTTCGTAATCTGAATTATATAAAAACAGGAATTTCTCCGCCATTTATCATGTGTTTGGTTGTAGGGTTCAAGAGACTGCTTAACGTAAACTAAGATAAGATAACATGGCACTCGTAAATCCGATATCCTTCAGTGGAGTAATGTGTGGGGGATATTGTGGAAGATAACGTGTCGGGAGTTTATTATAGAAGTAAAGTGCCGAAATAATGATATTCCCTTAATTAAAAAATATTAAGATAGTGCCAAATATCTGCACCTTTCGTTCTCTCACACTGAAGCGTGTCAAGTGTGAGGTGGCAGCCAAAACTTGCCTATTGGGGGCATTCAATCCTTAGGTGTTTGTGTAGTGGGGTTTGCGAGAGTATGAACAAGGTACAAAATGTTGATCACGAAGTTTTGATTTGTGTGTGTGTGTGATTAACTTAATATGACTTTTATTAATGCTAGAATGGAGTATTGCTGTTTGTTGGCCATCTTTGTCCTACGTTCGTGTGATAAGAAAAGTCCCCATTTACAATTTCTCAAAAATTGTACTGCATTTCACATGATATTTTCAATGCCATTCTCAAAATCATGGTATCAACAATGGACTAAAAAAAACTGGGTTCGATGCATATTTCTTCATTTTACAATAAATCTTCAAGTAATTTTCACAAGGTATCGGTTAGACTTACAAAATTATCGTTTCTTGGCGTAAGTCAACAAAATTAATGAGAGAGAGAGAGAGAGAGAGAGAGTGTGTTTACGGTCTGAACAGCTGGACCATCAATAATCAATTTATAGTGTTTGGGTTAAAACAAAATAAGTAAAATTATCACTCTTAACTATGACAAAAACGTAAACAAAACTATTTTGGGAGATATTAGCCAAAAATTACACCTTCACCTGTAAACAATATCGTGATTAATATTAAACAACAATAAAACAATAACTATTAGCTCACACAATGGCCGTGCACCATCATCAACAACAATATAAACAGCGGACAAATAAATAGACGCTTCACTATTATCTTGGCAACAAAAGCAGCAGTGGGAGTTAGCAACATAGCCACCGGAATCGGAATGCAACAGCAAACAACAATAATGTGACAACAACGAGTCACCAGAATCAAAGTAAAATAAAAATAATAATTCAAAATCAAAACGCAGCATGATCTACAACCACCAGAAGTCCTTTGTAAATAATAATAAAAACAAACGTGCTAACTGCAGCCACCAAGATCAAAATACAATTGCAACAACCACATCAGAATACAAGTACAATACATAAGAGAACAGTGTGTACCGCTACAAACACGACAATATGAGGAGGTCTGTGAGGAAGGAGTCAAGGTGAGGAGTGGCAACAACAGTGGCAGCGGGCCAGTAGTACGATCGCCTTCCGTCAGTGCGCACACAACTTACTCCCGGTCCTGGCTGACTGAACGACACGCACACATCTCGAATAATCGGACATTAGTAAGCAGTGGTGTGGATGGTGAAGCTACGTGCGAAGGAAGTGAAAACGAAGCAAGATATCCTCCCTTGGAAGTTTTAGTGATGATGCAAATGACTTTGTGTTGACGTGATTTATTAATATGAATAAGTCTCCCGGCAGCCCCCCCGCCCCACACACCAAAGGTTTCAGGACATTTGCTTACAAGTCTGTGTGAGGGAGTTGAAAGACAATTGAGCGAACTACTCGTGAAGCTGAAATAATCCTGTGTTTAACATTTAAGTGTAAAGAGTGAACTGTATAATTAATATTAAAGAAAATATAATCTTGAAAATAATCTTCCAGTCGCTTCACAAACTGCCAAGTGTTAATTTATTCCAGAGAAGCTAATTTAAAACTTTACTTATTACTCAAGAATATAATAAATGTAACCCAAACATTAATTATTAAAAGTTGAATATGTACAGAAGTTACGGTTTCTTGTGTGCATGACGCAGGGAGTGTTGTGCCCAGCAGTCAATGTTGCTGCCTCACTTCAGGAATGTATGATTTAACTTTATTGGAGGGCGTGTGTTGAGGTGAAGCAGTACATTCACATTACGTGGGGGGGTTTTCCCAGACAGGTACTCCCGGCACACACAAACGCATGGTAAAATAGGAAAATTTTAACTGGACGAGAATTTTTGTGAATTCCCTCGCGCTAAATTAAAATATTAATTGCATTTATCCCTTGTGCGATTATCGAAATATAATTATATCCTTTTTCTCCGTTGGTAAAGCGGCCGTCTTGCCTCTAACACTGCCCCTTGAATCTCGATAATTTATCACCAACACACTCCCTAATTATCTTAATACAGAGGAACTATTATTCATAGGGGGGTATATATTATACATATCACTATTGTACGTCGAGCAGTTAGCAGCACGATATCCGCCTCCCAATGGCACCTACCCGCCACCCTTATCCCTCCCTGACGGTGTTACAGTATCTCAACACAGAGTAACACTGTACTGCCTCTAGTGAGTCTGTGTATTGTGGTATCATATCAAACGTAAGCAACATAGTGGACTAGTACGTTTACTCATGTTTCGAATGTATTCATAACGTTATTAGCTGTAATTTTTTTATTGGTAATCGTATTTGAATTGGCTTCATTTGTCATTAATGTACATAAAATACCAATGAAAAGACGCTTTGAAATAGTAGAACTGCTGACCAATGTTTGGAAGGAATGAAATAAAGTGGGACTATCCATGACTGCATACTGTATTTTTAGCCGTTGATACTGAAGGACGCAGTATTGGCTGGCTGTGAAATACTATAATACCAAAAAAATAGGAAAAAAACTAATGTTCAGAAGACAGTTCAAGAAGCACAGAAGAAAACCAGGTAGCCCAAGTAGACGTGTTAACAGTTTTAACTGTTTGTGTCCTGTGACGTTAGAGAAATTATTTTTGTAATTGAAACTAGACTAAGAGTGAAGTGTGTTTTATAAATTATATTTGACGACTAGAAGTGTGTTTGAAGTCTTCACAATGGGACATAATGTATCCAAGACGCTCTTCTGTATTGGGACAAAGGTAAGTGTGTTCTATTTCCAATCTCGTTCGGTTTTAGCCCGAGTCTTTTGTACAGTTAGTTCTCTATTCTACACCTTAAAACTCTGACTTTCTCCATATTTTTCCGCGCTCGAAGCTTTTCTTTTTACTCTCCTCTTCTGAATTACTAAACTACCCCTGTTTATTATATTATACGATGTTCAGGTTTTACTTAACCTAGAGTCTACAGTATGTAATGTGTGTTTTTATTGTTTGATGCTGGAATACATATATGATTGAAGATTTTAAGGGATGAGTAGTATGTGTGTGTCCCGGTTATGTAAGTCACTCACTAAAACCTCTTGGCAATATCCACGACCAAACGTTTTACACTTCTTTGCTCCCCGAGTTATTTAAGTGTAGAATTTGGTGATTAATGCACCTTAATAAGAAATTTTATAAACCTTTATCTGTTACTGGTAAAAAATGGTAGAGGAAATGAACCAAACGAGACAAAACACAGTCGTGCTACTATACATTAGTTTTTCAGTAACCTGCCGTCCCTGTACGCACCCTGAATTATCTAACTTTACCAGCCACTAGTACCCAACGAGCCTAGTATCATGTCTCTCACGTACGTACAACAGTGCAACCTCGCCTCACTGATGAATCATTATAAGACACAGCAACAGAGGGTCATTTATTAGTTGCAGGAGGGAGAGCTTAACGCCTGTTGTAGGAGGAAATACATAGGACATACTGTTGAAAGATGTAAATTAACTCACCGATGACAGACTGTTGGAAAATTTTCAATGGTTTCGCCTTCATTGATGAGTTGTAAGGGGGCTGGGGAGATCAGTATATGAGGTCTTAACACCCTCTTGTCCTGTCTCCACAAATCACGGTGTGGGGTGGTCGTCTCCAAGGTGAGCAACATTATACCGGTGGTGTACTGAAGTATATATTAAATACCTCCACATTTCCTCCACAACCTTATATCTTGTGCTTATATTGATAGTTATAGTGTTTCTGTACTTCTTAACCATGAATTAAAAGAGATAAAACTTTTACGCCTACCGACCCAAACTGCGAGATTCGTATCTGTATCAGTCTTACTAATCTACCAAAAATACTAAAACTCGTTTATAACTTTAAAAATTGTTTATGCAAGATACCATAGACATTAAAGTACAGTGCTTTACAATTCTGTACCCTGAGGGAAATACAGTTGTACCGCAGGTATATTTATACAATATACAGTATGTATTATTAAAAGGCTTTGTGAGATAGATTGTATTGGTAGCAATGTAATCTGGTTGACCATTAATCCGTCGTCTGCTCACGGTACTGTACTTGTTTTAGAAGTTATTGTTGGATGACATTGAGAGAGAGGGAAATAACAAGTCCATGGAGAGAGAGATATGAGGTAAACAGTAGCCTCATCGCCAGTTTTGGGAAGGTGTTGGGCAACAGGTAGTTCTGGCGAGACACTTATACGCCTTGGTAGACATTTATATCCTCAGTGTTGGCACCCAGCCAAGTGCCAAAATTACCTGGCACTGGACCATCAATATGTGCCGTTACTACCAACCACCACCCCCCCACCCGCAACTCCCACCCCCCCACCCGCAACTCCCACCCCACTGCTCCCACCCCCCCCCACCCCAACTCCCACCCCCCACCCGCAACCCCACCCCCACCCCCCACCCCCACCCCCACTCCCACCCCCACCCCACTCCCACCCCCCCCACCCGCTACTCCCACCCACCACCCCAACTCCCCCACCACCTGCAACTCCCACCCCCCACCCGCAACTCCCACCCGCTACTCCCACCCACCTCCTGCTACTACCACCCACCTCCTGCTACTACCACCCATCACTTGCTACTACTAGTACAGTATACGCTAGTTCAGGCAGGCTTACCATTCACGCCAGTTTTTGTGTGGTGTGGGCGTGACCAGCTATGATATCTTTAAGTAGATACAGAAGATAGCTGTTCTATCATTATCAGATCTAACCGCTGAAGTTAAGGCGTTATGTCTCGTCTTGTATAGACCTCTGTTCATTGTGTTGTGTGAACGGATTAAACAGGTGAAGGTTTATTTTCAAGGCATCTCGGGATTTATGTTTTGGTAGCCTCGTACTCCCCGAAGATTAACCACATAACACTACATGTGGGGGGAGGGTTCAGTTAGCGTTAGAATAGTTAATCTTTGGGCGAAATAAGCATTTAGGCCACTGGCGTTTGGTTTGGGCCAGGATGGTTAGAACGGTTTCGAGACAAAACGGCCCAAACCAGAACGGCCCGACCCTGTGACCAAAACGGCCTAACCCTAACCTAACCTAACGAAAACAAAACTGAGCATGATAGCAGCTATGTTGACAGTCTGAGTTAGCTGGGTAACTAACCAGAAGTGGCAACTGGTTGTTTAGTCTAATGTTTACATCGTTTACATTTCACAGTTGCCACTTCTGGTTAGGTTAGAGTTAGGCCGTTTTGGTTAGAGTGGGGCCGTTTTCTCCGGTAACCGGATAAAACCCCCAACGGACAAAACCCCAGTCTCATATATAAAATAAAACACTTATGTTTAGGTTAGGTTAGTGTTGATAAATGACAACCCCGTTGGGGTTTTGCCATGGAACCATTTTCTCCTGCTACCGTTAGAACCTAACTTAACCATGGCCCAAACGTCTGCTCACCCCCCTCCCCTTCCTCTTAAGGCGTCCCATGATAGTTGCGAGAAAGGTGGAAAACATGTCCTAGAGTTGCCTAACATCGCCGAGTGCGTTTAACCAACGTCAGTCAAGGGCAGGCCTCAGACTCAGTACGCACCATCCTAGTATGGCTGTTGTGTGCAGGGTCGTTTTACTTTTAAATTTTATCCTCGTCGCCACTGATTGCCTTGTTAGCCACTTGGGCGATCGGTCACATCTCTGTTATGCACTGTTGGCAAGTATTGGACATGTACTGGCTCCTGGATGTATCTGTGCCTCCGCCAGTGATGGTCAAGTCTGGTCGTAATACTCTCTGGCGTTGCTTTAACATGTCTGAGCAATACCCAATGATTTGGTTGTAAGCGAATGGCCAGCAGTTTGACTTGACAGGTGCTGGACAGGAACAGAACAGGGTGAGGCATTGAGTCGATCATTGATAAGGACGCAATAACAAGTACATAAGCTGAAGAGGATTAGAAGAGGTTGAAGAAATGTATGTTCAAGGGACCTCCGAAGTTTACATCATGATTTGCAGTGGTACTGTACTGTATTTGTATTAAAAATCGATACAGTTTTTATAAATTGTACAACATTAAATAAAAAAAATATAAGAATTCATAAACACACTACAGTATAGCTTCATCTTTCATTTCCAATACAAAAAGGGTGTTTGACCCCCCCCCCCCTCCAGAAAAGAAACAGCTATGATGCAGCCATGATAATTTTCATTCTTCTTAAGAATGATTTTGATCAGATTTCATCAAAATCTAATTCTAAACATGCTGATATAATTTCTGGAGTAAAAATGTTGGAACTACAAATACTGTATTATAATTTGTATTGAGTGCATCATCAAACTGGGTCAACCATTGATTAAGCACTCTTAATCTTACAAATACCTGTAATGAACTACAATATGATATTTTCACAAATTAATGGACGAGTTAAATGTTCTGTTAACATGTACAGTAATTAATTTAAATTTATTTTTTTATTTAATTTATTTTATTTATGCACTATAGTGCATAATAAATAATAAAAACAACACTGAATAGCTATTCAGTGTTTTTATTATTTATTTTATCCTTTTTTGTGTGTGAAAAATATAGATACAAGATAGTTCATTGCAAAGGAATATGGATAGGCAAAATTAAAAGCCCAAGGTTACATCAACACCTCAGCTGACCTTATTGCTATGTCTACCACTGAATGATAAGACATCTATGATAACAGGATTTTCCCCAGAATCATGTATTACAGAATCTTATGCAAAAATTTCATGAACTAGTTTAATATTAGTCCATGTACAGTATATCAGAGGAAGCTTACCATGATTCTGTTGGAACACGGGTACAATAAATACAGTATACGGTATTTATACATTACACTGTGAGAGTATTGTGTATTATACTTTTATCTTCATATTCTATTGTGTAATTACATTCTTAAATGTATGGAGGGTCATTTTAGTTATTTTGTTTGTCAATTGTTGAACTGCCTACACTACTTGGCTGTTAGGACCCGTGGTCCGCATTGTCAGCCGAGGTGTGGTGGCGTCAGTTGTCGACCAGCCCAGGTGACCCAGGGCAGTGGTACACTGACCGGCATCGAGAGAGGTACAGTCACCCAAAAAAGTCCTGTCGCGAACCATGAATCGACTCTTGAATCCGAAGCATTTATGGACAATAATGTATCGGTGTCTACTGCTTCGGGTTCACGAGTCTGAATCTCAGGGTTCGTGGTTCGCGACAGGACTTTTTTGTGTGACTGCACATATGTAACCTTGTTTGTAAATCCAACTAGAACTCCCCCTTTGCCTGACTTGGACTGCTCTGCATTGCACTGCCAAGCCAAGAGTCCTATTTGTGTCATTAAACAGTTGTGATTTTCCCTTGCCAACTTGACAAATTCCTTTACATGAAACCTATCTAATTTACATCAATAATTTAATACAGAAGCTACACAACACGTTTTTTGGCATTTTATTACAATACAGTACAGGTTAGTTTCTGTGGCTTTAAGGATTAATGCATATTTCTTCCTATAGATCTCTCATTTTAACTTTAAACAGGCATACTCACTCCACAGGAATTTTTGTACAATACCTTTGCCCTTATACTATACTGTACTGTACTGTACTCTACCTGGATCTACACTTGTGCCAGTTTCTGAATTATTTACCGGTAAGGGTTCTTAGTTGACAAACATAGAATTGCCACATCCAGCAAAATTTGCCAGCCACTGTACCAGGTGTAAATGTAGGTGATTGTATATGCTGTACTCCATAACATATGACAGAACAGTGCTATGTCCTATGTTCAGTATTAAACAGTTGTTATAATAATAAAGTTAAGAGTATATATATATATATATATATACAGTATATATATATATATATATATATATATACATACATATATATATATATATATATATATATATATATATATATATATATATATATACATACATACATCTATATCTATATCTATATGGCCTCATTTTCTTATTCATTATTACAGTTGAAGTTTGTTTGTGGATGACAACTGGGGCTCTGTAATTGAATGTGTTTAGTAGTCATTATCCTCCTTAGACTTTAACTAATATGTACAGTATTTTCCTTGACAGGAAGCAACATCTGCAGCAAGCAGTCGACGTCCAGCACCTTTCGCCATGGTGTCGGCAGAAGCCTCGTCATCCACCTTAAGTAACTCGGCCACCACCCCTTCCCACGGTGGTCCACGTGCGCCCTCCATAACCATCCTCCACTTTAATGATGTCTACAATGTGGAGGAACAGAACTCTGAACCAAAGGCAGGGGCAGCAAGGTTTAAAACTGCACTCAAGAGTTTTGCTGACCGGGACCCCTTGGTGTTGTTCAGCGGTGATATTCTCGCTCCATCAATCAGTAAGTTGTACAGTACCTTTTGCTTTCTCATAGTTTGATAACTTTTCTGTATGATTTACACTTTTTCTGTTTAATAACTTTCCTCTTTAATATGTTGATCCTTATAAATTATTAGTACTTTTTTCATAATTACCCTCTGGCTAATTTCGGCTTTGACTTTTCCCCCCGATGGGTTATTTGTATCTGAAGATATCTACCTATTGTTTATTTGCATTTGATAACTCTCCCAATTGGTTATTATTATTGATAAGTTTTTGTCTTGTATTTTATTTTTCTCTTACTTTACTGTTTGGGTGGTTGGTCATGTTTCTGTTATGAATTGTTGGCAAGTACTGTACTGGTATTGTAAATATTTTTAATTAGGACAAGCATTTTAAGGACAATAAACGCCTTTTTTATTGAAAACCTAATTGCTTATAAGGTATAAGGTAGTCCATATTCTTTGAGAAAATGTATATGGTGATTTAAATCTTGCGGCCAGAGAATAATTGACGTAAAATAATACAGTTGATTAAGTTCAGTCTTATATTCTCTGATAACAGGAATAAAGTAAAAGCTGCCATTCTCTATGCTATTCCTGGCAATTTGTGTTGTGACCCTCAGGCAAGAGGTAACAATGTAGTCCAGGGCATTGGGTTAGGATTGAACAAATATCTCACGTAGGTTGGTAGTTTACGAGTGCTGCCATCTAACAAATGGAGTGTTTGCCAAAATTGATTTTTTTCACCCATACATGTACACTATTGTTAATTTGTGTTTTCTTGCAGTGAGCTCATTCACAAGAGGCGAACAGATGGTACCAGTAATGAATCAGCTTGGGATACACTGCGCCCAATCATGATTTTGGTGAGTGTTGCATGGATGTTACAGTACAATATTCATTTGATGACTGTATTTATGTAATGTACTGTATAAGTAAATTGGCTGAAATGAGAGTTTTGGCATCCTAGTAGACTGCATATAACTTGGATCTTGTACAGTATTTATAATTATATTCCTGAATGTTGTTTGGATCTGTATCACAAGTGATGTAGCTAACTGCATGCCAGTATGGAATAAACCACTGAATTAATTAGGTTTATATGTCTTGATATATTATAGAGTATATAATTGTAAATAGGGAAATAGTACAGTTTGTGTTCACCAGCTCCCTTTATTTCATGTACTGTAGCTGTATCAGTAGCTTTGTGAATGCCAATACTGAAATACTTTACTGTACTTGCTTACTTAGAAAACATTTGGACCAACCTATGCTAAAGCAGCTTATTACTAATCACTACAGTAGTCACTCTCATTATTGTAACTTACTTGGCACATCACTTACAGATTTTGGGTTGGACCGACTTGTGGATGTGGCGGGAAGGACCAACTTTCCCTGGTTAATGAGTAATGTAGATGATAATGAAACTGGCCAACCTTTAGCTGATGGTATTCTCACACATATTATGGATTGGCATGGATGGAAGATTGGAATTGTAAGTGAAGTCTCTGTCTGTCGGTAAACAAATGCACGAGTAATGTATTGAATTACTGTAAATAGGTAAAATGATAAGAGATGAAAAATAATTATGGATTCGTTAAATGGATTTTGGTTATTTTCCAGTATAAATTCTTTAAAATATTTTTAACTTCTGGGAAACGAGAGTTGTTGTACCTACTTTTCTCATTTTTGTTGAGTACAGAACATGATTCTGAAGAGGGGACTCTAGGAAGAATTAACGAGGGAGAGGGTTTTGGTCTTGACTGCAGCATTATGTAGCATAGCAGGAAATGGCTTGAAAGCATTTGCTCTAAAGAAGAATGTAATTTTATTCACCAGGTTGGCCTTGTAGAAAAAGAGTGGTTGGAGACTTTAGCCACCATCAATGCTGAACAAGTAACATTTACTGATTATGTGGATAAAGGCAGAGAGCTGGCAACAATGCTCAGGAATCAAGTAAGTTGAATTTAACAAGTTCGTTTTATAATGGTGGTACAGGGGACTTGTTATATACTGTTCCTGTTTTCCAAATACTCTTTATCCAAATGCTCACTCAGTGCTGGAGGCTATGTACAGAATTTTTTATTTACCTAATGGCTAACCACTAGAGGCGGCCATGCTGATGAAGTTCCTTTGCTTGTGTTGCTATTTTTTTTTTAGAGTATGTGACTTTGTGTTGTGTATCATCATAACTGAAATTTTTGTTTCTCTTTCTAGGGCTGTGATTACGTGATAGCATTAACACACATGCGGACACCAAATGACATCAGATTAGCTGAAAATGTTGATGAAATTGACCTCATCTTAGGTGGCCACGATCATGTGTACGAAATTCTAAAGGTAAGACTGTCATGTATCTTTGTTAATGACATCGAATTGATGATAGACTATGATTTATAACTTTTTTACCATAGGCTTCTCACCTTTGGGTTTACTGGAGAGAAACTACAGAGGTTTACAAAAGGTACAAAATTAAAGGGATGAAAGAAAATTCAGTGGGTTGCAGGATTGTTCTATTTTATTTATCATATCCACCACTTATCAGCGTACTAGCCATTCAGGCGGGTTGTTCTGTTCTTTGTTATGATCTTCGCTGAAACATTTACCATTATGATTGGCCAATGCTTTGTGTCAAGTCATTGTTTGGGTGGAATCTCTCATGGCTTTAGTGAAAATGATCACTTGGTGTTTGATAGACACATAATTACACATTACAGTACTCGTATATTGTATCAATGAACAACTTGCTGTAGCCAAGAGCTTTGTGGCCACACTTAATTTACCATGTACTGTACATGCATTTATTGGTTGTTACTAAAAAGAAAATATGTATTGTACTGTACAGTAATTTTACGTCTTAACAAGGCCAAGTAAAAAAGAGCTTATAGGATGTAAAATAAGAGATTAATCCTTTGTGAATAGGATTACCTCTCAATTAAATAAGATCGGCTGATGTTAGCCAAACAAAATACTAAAATTGGCATCCCCGTAGTGAAGGGATTAATGTGTTAATGTGGGAAATAATTGTTTGTATTTTTATAATAATGTGTTAATAGTAAAAAGGTAATAATATACTTTCTTATTGCAGATAAATGATAAAATTATTCTTAAAAGTGGCACAGACTTCAGGGAGTTCTCAACTATCACTTTATCTCAGGAAGGAACCGATGTTAATGTTGATATTGAAAAGGTTGTTGTAGACTCTAAGTTTGAGCCAGATGAGGACCTAAAAGAAGCTCTTGTAGAATATGAAGGTAAGGTAATATGACCTATATGCACAGTACTGTATTGCACTACTCTTAGTATCACAGAATTTAACATTAAAACATTTGCATTAATTATTGTATTTTTTTTTTTTTAATCCTAGCTCAAGAAGCTATAGTGTATATTTTAAAACTGTAATGCAAAGGTAATAATATACACATACAAGTATTGTTGGATGAAAATATCACATGTTTTCTCATTTCAGCCGTGGTGGGTGAGAAGATGGAAGAGGCTCTTGGTACCTTTAGTGTGGAATTAGATGGAAGATTCTCCTCGATAAGAACACAAGAGACAAATCTTGGCAACTTTATATGTGACATTATGATGGCAGCTTGCAATGGAGATGTTGCAATTCTTAACTCTGGAACTTTAAGATCAGACAGAATCCATCCAATGGGAGAGTTTAAGATGAGAGATTTAATGACAATTTTACCTATGTTGGATCCACTTCTTGTCTTAGGAGTCACTGGTAAACCTTAGCTTTTTATTTTATTCTGTCTGATATTGATATGGTAACATCCCAGTTCATCTATCTCCCTTTAGGTTAGATCAGGTCATCATTAACTGACGGTAGATATTTTGGGAATGTGTGACATTTTCAGAGTAAACATAATATAGTCATCGTTGTAGGAGAATCCATGTATACATTAACAGTAAAGTAGATTATGTATTATGGAGACCTTTGCATCTAGTCATTGTTATTTATTTTCTACAGGTGAAAAACTCTTGGCAGTCCTTGAAAACGGAGTATCACAGTACCCCAAGCTTGAGGGTCGTTTTCCTCAAGTTGCTGGCCTGCAGTTTGTGTTTGATCCCAACGCTGAACCTGGGTCGAGAGTAATCAGAGACTTGGTGAAAGTCGGAGACGAGTACTTGAATCCAGACACTGTTTATCGGTTCGTGACAAAGGCCTACATGCACCAAGGTCGAGATGGATACAACATGCTAATCGATTGTCCTATACTGGTAAGCTTTACATTTTTGCTTTAATCTTTTAAGACTATTCTCACTTAATTGAGGGTGGACAAAGACAAGAGCTAATACACAAATGTTCTTCCTTCATTTGTTGTCATTCATTAATTTTTACTGTTATAAAAGATGCGTTCTGGTAAGCTTATTTCATAATCTGTTACCTGAATTATTTATTGTAGATGATGGGAATTACATTTTTTAATTATAAAATGGGTTAAAGTGTTAGAAGTTAGATTAGTGATAGTTTTGAAGTTATATAAAAAAGTACTGGTAAGTTATGTCAAGTTTGATAGAGAAATTACTATAGAAGTTTGAGAGAAGAATTAAAGAAGATGTGGAAATTGGTTGACAAGTGGACAATATTCAGAGTGTCAGATCTGCTATCGTTGGTAGAATTGTGGATGAATGCTGATGGAAATGAGATAACTAAAGGTTTACATTCTGTTTATGAGGTTGTGAAATAAGAGTCGGGTCAACTATGAGGTTGTGAAATAAGAGTCGGGTCAACAACTATTTATGAATGTGCAGATGTTTAATTGTGCTTGAAAAATGTTCCCCAGTTAGAGAGAGAATCATCACTATAACACACAGTTTTACTCCACAATATTTAAATTTGGTTAGGTGATAGGTACTGTACAGTACAGGAAGGTCCGAAGGCACAAGTACAGTAGTCGATGAGCACGAGACTGCTGGGCCCAGAGGACACTTAGTATCTTAGTGAGGCTACTTGTATCTTTGTACTATAGTAGCAAATGTCCTCTTGCATTGCCTGTACAAAGGGAAAGAGGTATACAGAAGGTTTATTTTGACCATTCGTGCATAGGTTGTCGTCAATTTGGAGAATATTACTGTGACATAAGTTTGGCAGAATGTGGCATACTGTACTGTAGCTAAAACAACTATCTATGCATACTTTGTGGGAAACAATATGAGACCATGGCCGATAAATTTTGGTATGAGGGCTGTCACTAGTCACACTTAAAATTTTGGAGCATATCAACCCCCACCTGCACAGATAGTTGTTTTAGCTACTGTAAATGGTATATAACTACTTTTACTCTCCTGAAGGTACAGTATGCCTAAAATGTATTTAAAATTTCTTGTAACACATTAATATTTGAACATCAACAGCAAGATGAAGAACAATGTCCAATGTTGTCAACAGCCGTCCAGAATCATTTCACTGCCATCCAGTCACGTTTGGGCAAGAGCCACCGAAACTCTACACATAGACAATCACTTATACTGTTATCCAGGAGGTAATATTGAAGTGCATGGCAGTATTATCATCTTTTTGTGTGTTTCATAGAACAGTTCCAGCATTTTTCATGTTAACCATATTAACACAGTGTTGCCAGGTATTATGTACCATGGGGTTGTGTGTCTGAACAACCATAATTTAGACAAATAAAATAAAATATTTGAATGTCTCATAGAAGATAGTAATAGCTTAATGGTTTTTGTCTGTGAAGTGAGTACTGTACGTGTGTGTGTGTGTGTGCGCGCGCGCGCTCCAGTACTGTTTTGCTTCTTTATTTGATGACATATTCTAACATAGTACTGTATATAGAGTGTGGTGGAGTTATTAACAATGCTTGATTTTTTTAACTTCTAACAGATGCTGACCTAAAATTCAGTAGTCCCTTAAATGTTTTAAAAAAACCCTCACAGACACAGTCTGATCCGCCATGATGATGAATTGCCTGTAGCAGCCAGGTCTGGGTCCCACAAATCTATTGGCCGGTCTGTATCGACAGATTCCGCCCTTTCTACTACATCATCAGGGTCTGTGACATCAATGTGAGTTGGAATCCTTACTTTTTTTCCTAATCTTGGAACAGTTGATAAGATTACCACTGAGTAATTTTATCTTTAGAATACAGATGTAATTTATAAATAAGTGCTTCAGCACAGAGTGGTAATGATCACAGATTATGAATATTTTGGTTAACCGCACCACTAAATTCTTGACTAATAAATTATCCCCAGTGTCTCTTGATGGGGGGGATATAGATATAATGAAGTGTATATCTGACTTTGTGAAATGGTAGCTTCAACACAGAGCTTTGGATTTTAACCAGAGTACAGTACAGTATATGCACAACATACCTTGGATGGGGTCCGTAATGGGTATTAGTTTATATATTTTGGAGTAATGGTTACATGGACAGTGCACAGTGAAAACAACCTTGAGTGATTGTTCTCATGTGGCAATGAGTGAATATTGGAGAAAACCTGAGTGTGTTGGGTGTGTATATTCACAAGTTGTTGCTCTGTTAAAGAATAGGTTTCATGATCTCTCCTTCAATTAGTTGAACTTTGATAACTTTTAATAATTGAACGACATTGATGATATTGCATTTAAGATGTATTTTGATATTCTTAGTCTACTAATGTGTGACCTAAATAGCAAAAATAGTGTAGTTTTCTGTTGTTTTTCTTGTTATTCCAAATACCAGTAGTAAAAAAAATAAAAAATTGTATTTATGGGTTTTTAATATGACTGAATAAATAGCTTCATGTTTTAGTACTCATTAAACTTCTTGCCCAAGTGTCAGTAACTGCAATAAGACTTTAGTTGGATGTTGTTGTCATTAGAAACTCTTTAAGTAATAGATCAAGTTTTTGAATAATGCTTGAATGTCACCTTTGGACTATATAGCAATCCATCATAACTTTGTGGGGTTTTTTTCCCTGTCCTTAGAATTATTTAAGTGATTTTTTTTTTTTTTTACATTTAGCTTTCCAAGACCAAGGTGAGGTTATGCGATATCCAATATTTTTTGCCAATAGTGTCCTCTTGTGTTCAATGTTTGTCCTCTTATGTGTAATGTTTGTCCTCTTTTGAACTGCTGGGCTGATTTTAATGAAACCTAATGTAGATGTTCCTTTTGATAGTCTTGATAAAAAACCTATGAAGATCACTGAGGGAAACTGGTATGAAAAGTTGTGTTTGTGTTCTTCAGGATGATGAACAGCTTGAAGTAAAAGATGGTGGATATAACAACATTGGTTTGGTGTTTATATGACCCCATTAGTTAGTTTAGGGTATTGTGCAGTCATATATATACAGTACAATCCAGATTTGACTTGCACATGCCTAATACTTGCCAGCAGTGTGTAAAAGAGAACAGACCAACTGCTCAACCAGGATCATACAAGGAGTTGGGATGTGCTTGTCTAGGCATATAAATGGTCAAACAGGGATGCAGAGAAGGAGTGTTGTTAGGAGGCGTTTATTACCATATATGAAGCTTATTCTGTTTTTATTTAAAGTGCATGAAATTTTTTTTAAAGGAGAGGGAATGAGTTTACTTTTGTTGTTTATTTGTTCAATTAAAAATGGAGAAGTAAGTATTTTTTTATGTGTTACTGTCGAATGTATTTAATGTTAAGAGTAAGGGCTGAGAATATATAAAAATTGAATGATCTTGAAATTTTCCCGCCTTTTCATAATTTATAAATTATATAACTTTTACTCTTATCCTTTTCACCACTGATCGGCTCGTTAGCCGCTTGGGCGATCGGTCACGTCTCTGTTACTTTTCCTTTTCTTTTATCCTCTTCACCAAATGATCGACTCGTTAGCCGCTTGGGCGATCGGTTATTTGTATTATCAGGGACTAAACATTTATAATAGAATACAGTATATGCATTTAAAAGTTGATATATTTTATTGTGGTGACGTTCATCTTGGTTATATACTTAACACTGTATCGTGTATTACTGTGTGTTCGTAATACTGTATTGGTACTAGTTCCTCTTCATGCTTTACCCCATTTTACTATCTTTTTTTAAGCCATTGTAAATAATAACCTTACTTCATTTATAATTATACAGTATTTCTTAATATTTTTTTAAATATATTTTTGGTAGAGTAAAAATTATTTAGAGAATGATTCAACAAATGTGTTCTATTTTCAGTACTTCCAGTAAACGGTCAAGAGGAACCTTATCCCGGCAGGAGAGCTTCCATGAGTTGGAGGATCTGGCCTGTAAATTGGCTCCAAAGATGGATGGGAGAATATTAGTAGCTACTGATGAGGTGAGTGCATGGTTAGTAAGATAGTTTTATCTCTTAAGCATGAATTAATCAGGTGGTTGATAGTTTAGAAAAAAGAAACCATGTCAGAATGAAAGAGATTTTTTGTACTTGTTTAAGATGTTCTCTATAGAATGTTTAGAAATAAACTTGATCTTTATTTATTGCCTTGTACATTGGAGCTGTCGACTCTATGATGGGTCACTAATACTGTTTACTCTAGTACAAAAGAAATTACTGGTACAGTATTATAAAGATAAGGACAGGAGCTTGAAGAATGTAAGGAAAATCACTCTGAGGAAAAAGATAACTGTCATTGTCTAGTCACCATTTTAAAGTTACTAAGATAGAGAGTAATGGAGTGTGAAGGATGTGTATCATTTAGTGTTGTAATATCAAGCAGTAAATATATGTAATCTTACTGTGCACTGGAAGAGAAAGAGAGGTGGGCTTTTCAACTAGACAATGTTGGTCAGTACAGTATTGATAGGAAATATAGACTTACCTACATCAGACAAAGCATCATTGTTGACTTCAATATATTTCATCTGATTAGCTATCTTGCCAAGCTTATCTTTCTTAATTTATTTTCACTTGTATGTGGCACATGGAACTAATTTCTACTTTACTCCAGGTTTGTTTTGAATTGATGTCTGCTGTATATTTTAAATGCTTTAAGTTTGGATTATTATAATATGTCCTCATTAATGTACAGTAGAAGTCCAAAAATCCGGACTGCTTGGGGATTGGGTCGGTCCGGATTTTCCGGATTCTCAAGCAGTACTTTTAAAATTAAAATTAAAATTTAAGGAGGAATAAAGAAGAGATGAACAGGTACATTTTCATAGTTTATTCATTAGCAAATAAAGCATGCTTCATTTATCAAAACGAGCAGTTTTAAAGAAAAATAAAGTCAACACTAGACAAAAATGTAAACAAACTGTCTAATACCATGACGAGTCTTGAAATTCCTAAGCCATCCATCACTAAATGCGCACTCTGATTCAATGTTCATTTGCTCCTTAAAAGACTTTGCTTTGGCAATAAGCATCGGCCCAGAAATTGCCATACCTTCTGATCGTTTTAACAAAAACCATTCATGCAACACTTTATCAAGATTTTCTAATTTGGGCCAATGTTAACTTTTTCTTTCAGCAATTTTAATGTAAGGCTCAGAAGAAGCTGTGAATTCTAGAATTTTATTCTTTGCCTTTTTTATATCATAAATTGTAGACTTTCCAATGTGGTATGTTTCCATTAGAACAGCATTGCTCACATTACATTCTAGTTTCTTAATTATTTCAAGTTTGTCACTCAATTTCAATGTGTTCTTCTTTCTCATCACACAACGAAGTTTATCTACTTTAGGGGCCATTATTATGGGCCTGTACTCTGTACATGGAAAGAGTAGGACTCAAAATTACACATGTTGTCACAGTTTGATTGCTTGTTTTAAAGTGGCGATCGTGTGGTCGTTTGTTGTCGCTGTGCAGCTGTGGCATTCACACATGCACACATACACACAAAAGATTTATAGTGCCTCAAATTTTACATTTCAGTTCAAGCTAATTACAAAACTAACAAAATTAGCTACCTATAATTTACAATTACTTTTATTATTAGAATTATGTAAATTAATTTTTTAAAGCAACTCCATTCATTCGCATAACCCACAAAAGCCCGCTAAATTTAAAAAGTTTGAGTTTTCGAAAAGTCCGGATTCTCGGGTGGTCCGGATTCCTGGTATCCGGATTTTTGGACTTTTACTCTATATGTATTAGTCTCATTTTCTTATATTCTTGCATAATTTTGTTTCAGTTAGTGTGAGAAAAATTTACTCAAGAGCTGCTAACTGCTAATTTCTTATCTTCATTAATTTAATAATCTTTTAAAATGTAAATAATTCTGATTCCTATTTCTTTGCTTCTCACTAATAATAAGTTGTAAAAAAGCATTATAAAGTGTAACCCACTACATTCTTGTAGTTCTGTCTTTTAAAATGCCATTTCTTTTACAGATCAGGTTTTTATTAAGTTTGTGATTTGGACAACCTGAATATATCAAATGCCAATCTTGTTGAAATTTTCTTGAAGATTGAGATACTTAAGTGTCTGCTTCTTGTATGAGCGTAGCTTTTTTGTTTACTTTTTATTTATCTGTGGGATACACTCACTATATAGGAATATAAACCCAAATTTCTTCCAAATCATATAATTAGGTTCCTTAGCCCATCAGGGGGCAAGGCTTTTTCTCTTGCTTGAATTAAATCATCTGGGATTAGCCAGAATAAGATAACTAAGGCTTGTGTCCTAGTGGGCTGTTCAAAAGGTTCTCTCGGGGAGTCACTCATGGTTGGAATTCTTGGAGCCAACTATGCAGCTGAACTTGCCAGCAGATGAGTCGATCATTAGCTTATAATTAAAAGTTGAAACCTTAAAAAAATAAATAAAAATTCAACAAGATTGTCAAACTTATTGTCAGTAAACCTTATTAACAATATTATCAACCTAATCAACCTGATTCTCTGCTGTTTCTGTTGTCTTTACCCGAGTTCCCTGCCCCCCCCTCCTCTCAGACCATGGTAAACCACCTTAGGGCCCAAAAGGTTATGGACTGTGGCATCCAAGAAGAGAAGGAAGCATAGATTCACAGGTAGAATAATCACATTGGAATTTGAGCCACAGTGAAGGGTATAAATAGTTCTGAGCCATGGTAGTGGGTATCATCCAGGCCCTGTTTATAGAACTATTTGCAACAACTGAACTAAAATAGATTTCCATTGGTTACGTAAATTATTCTACGTAATTGTATACCAATTTCATCGGTAACTTTTGATATGCACAGGCAACTATAGTTGCATACACCATACACAAAGGTGTTGGGTGTAGATGTTTTCTTAGAATTTGTGATTATAGAAAATATTTTATGATTATTTTACTGAAAGATATAAATATGGCCTTGATGAAACACTTTCTTCTTCTACAATTTGAGACAAATTATTACTTCTTTATTACTCAATGAATTCTTTTGGGACAGAAATGCTACAGTGATATTAAACTCCAATTTTTGTCACTTTAGAAAAAACAAAAAAGCTAATAAGTTACTGTGGGCTTGAATTTCATAGTTTTGTTGATGTGAATTATCAGTTTCTGTCCATAAAGGGTTTATGGCATATTGTCTGATGCTTAGGTAAATGCAGTTACTTCTTTAGGGAAGATACTTTGCTGTACTTAACTGCACCTTCTCTTTTCTTATTGCTCTTATGGAAAAAAAAAATTGCACTTTCTTTTATATGTATGACAACTGATTTGCACACTTTTTAACTACAGTAGAAGTCTCATTGTGTCTGGCAGAACAAAAATATTTCCAATGGCTTAAGTGAAGGAATACTTTAGTACGTAATTTCAAGCATGGACAGGCAGATGCAGCCATCTACATAAATGGAAACAAAGTACTGTACAGTATATTTATTTTTTACAGTTGACATAGTATACTATACATTTAAAAAATGGACTTGATTATAGTGTAAAACTATAAGTAATTCTTCTTATAAGGCATAATTATACCATAGCAAATAATTTTTAACTGAAAATGAACTAAGTAAGTATTTATAACTCGCTTAAGACTTCCTGTCTGGCTAAGGTATAACTAACCATTCTGTTGGTTTAAATAAATGACCTTAGTGGTTTTTATTAATGGAATAATTAGTTCAAATCCTTCCCGTTGCAATCATATCTTAAATGGAGTATTAGAGGCTGCATTTCCCACTGAAGGGTAAAGAGTTTTGTAGTCACTTTAGCTATTCCCACCATAGACAAGGATTTTGGAGTATGTGTGGGCTTTAACGATTAGTATTTCATGCATGGACTGCACTTGGGATTACATGCTGTACTCTGGCAGTAGAAATGTTCTCTTTGGTGAGGGAAGTTTTCAATTTTCTTGTTTTGCATTAACAGAATTGAATTTTCACGTATTCTGTTCCAGTATGGTGAGACCCTTCGTGAGTTAACACAGTTTGCTAGTACACGACAACTCCATGCTAAGCAAATCTACCAGTTTAAGACTTGAAGTAAATCAGTTGTGTTAATGCCTTTTTTATTTAGCGTATTGCTTTACCATTAATTTCTTTAGATATACGTATTCTGAAATCCAGTAGACTCCATATTATTTGTGGGGTTATACGGTATTGCTTTAGGCGAACTATGAATAATTGATTAGTGTGAAAACAAAATCCGGTTTCATAGGCCCAAAAGTCTACTATTAGGGGCAGTGTAGACTTGGCTTAGTTTACTGCACATAAGGAGGCAGCGTGGATGGCTATGCCCTTGACCAACTACACTGAAATTCAATATAAAATTAAAAGCCAAATGTCTTGGCCGAATTTCCTGGTTGTGTGGAAGAACACAGCACCCCTTATGGTTATTTAAGTACTGTACTTAGATTGATTTTATTATATTTATTCAGTATATACTATACAACAGATTTCTGGCTTCATAGTAGAGTACTGTACAGTGAAATCTCTAGTAGCAGACTACATCGAGAAGAAAGTCCGGTATATTGAGGGTTCGTTAGATTTGAAACCCCCCACCTAACGGATTATATTGGTGTCACCGTGTATATCAGATTTGTGACGTTCTCTGTTTAATGTCTTAGGCTAATCGGGAGTTTTTATGAATATGAAGATAATGTCCTATTATTTTGTACCTTATGGATAATTAAGCTATAATTACTTAAGACAAATAATTAGGAGTCTACCGAACAATTTCTTTTGGTATTAGAAGTGGTGATTGTTGTAAGTTATTGGTGATGGTTAAAATTTTGCTTCCATTTATTTTGACAATTTCTTAATTTTCTTAAATTGATTATTTCCTACTTCCTATTTTAAATGCATTTCCTATTTTCTTAATAAAAATTTGTTATATTATACTTTATATTACAGTATAACTAAATTTCCAATTATTCTAGTATTATTGTACTCTTAAGTTTGTTACACAACAATTTTACTAAATATGTATCACGGCAAGAAAGGACTTGAAACTTACAGGACAATAGGTACATATTGGTAAAGTCACAATTCCTATAGGCCCCGTTGTGGGTCTTTCGACCTTTGCCCGGGTGGGCTAATTCCCGTAAAGAAAAACCTAGATGTAGGTATTCAATGCCTTCCTTTCTATTCTGTCAAAACTATAACAAAGTAAATCTGTATTGCAGTAGAACAGAGGAAATCCTACCATTGATGAAATATAAATAATTCTAATGAAATACTGGTATGATATTTTCATTCTGGAATAATATCCATTTTATATTTCAATACTCGGCAGATTGTGGAGAATCTACACCTGAAGCGAGCACAGCGGAGTGTGTCTGTCATTGAAGAAGAAGATGAACCCACAACACCCCAGACCCCAAAGGTTCCTGCATTAGAATAATGTTGTGTACCATACTTTATCACTAGTTACATATACACACATAAATTTGACAATACAGTTTTAGATTCATACTTCAGTCTGTCCAAATAAGTTTCTTGTGCATAAAAATTATAATGAACAAACAGTAAATTACAGTATTATGATATTTTAAGTGCTTAGGAAGCAGCTTCCTGCCTTGATAAAATATCAATTGTATTGAATTTTGTTGATCTCTGTTTTGAAGAATTTCATCTAAGGTCAACTGAATTAAAGTCTCTACAATATTAAAAAGAGAGAAGATAATGAAGGGCCTATTAAAAGCAGTAATCACTACTTTTTAATAAGAATAAAGCAACATATTCATCCAGAATATTGATATACCATATTGTGTGTAGTTATAGTGAGAAGTGGATTGAATGTTCGTGATATGATTACAATTTAATTACAAATTAATTTTAATTTCAAAATCAGTTAAACTTTTCTTGTCTAAATAACTTGTATCCATACTATTAGTGGTACACAGTACATATGGTTATAAGCAAAATGCTCAATGCTCATTGCAATCTGCCACATACTGCTGAGTGACATGTTTAAGAGTCCAATGGAAGGTTGATTTTGGATTAAGGGGACATTTACTTCTTTGGAACGGAGATTTTACCATGAATATGAGACATATCGACACGGTGATTTAGGAAATGAAATGACAATTAATACTGTACTGGGGAATCACATGTTAAATATTGTTTAATTTTTATTTTATAATTACTACCTGGAAAATGGGCAAAGGATCTTATTGACCAGATTTAAGCTGCAAATAGATATCATACTCGAATGATGAACAGTAATTGAATTTAGAGTGGAGTAAACTGTAAGTTAAGATAAATGATAGATACCAGTAACTAAATATTAAAACAAAATTACAAAATCGAATTATGTTTGGTGATGGTATTTTTCAGGCAAGTATGTGTAGTACTTGATTTTTCTAGTAACTGGAAGATATCTCCTTGCATAGCATTTTGGGAATGCTGGAATTAGACAGTAGTTCATGGGCTAATTTATTTTTTGTGGTAGGACTTTATATCTGGTGTTCCAGCCATAGTTTATAGTTAGCCAACCCTCTTGGAAAGATTTTCCTCTCCCTTGGACCCCTCAAGTGGGGCAGGGTTTAGCCACCCCTCTTGTCCGTCCTCTATGGGTAAGCACCGGTTTGCTTGAAAGGGATAAAAATTTAGAATATATGGTGATTGTGATTGTTTACATGGCCATAGTTATGGTAGCTTTAGGCTGTTAAGAAAGGAAGACTCCAATCATTTCCACTCTGAAGAATGCAAAGAATCAAAGCCAGATATGATGTTTGTCATTAGACTGCACTCATGATAGATAATTTATTTATTTACATATATTGAGTCTTAATTCAGAGTGTAATACCAGTATGATATTGGGTAAAAATGTGAATTTCATGAGCAATAGAATTTTACATAATGTTGCTCAAAGAGGCTGAAAACATTATTTTATTTTGTTCTGAGCACTGACCACCTGTAAGAATAGATGATGAGGCTACTAAGGTGAGAGACCTAGCCAGCACTCGACTGAAATTTTCAGGGATGTATTCAAGGGTAGGGAGATGACCCTTTTGTATAAGGTGGATGATAAATAGTTTAGGCAAGAATCCATGATGTTAGAAATGTAATAGCAATGCGAGAAAAAGTCATGAGAACTGCTAGAGAATGTTGTGACATCATCGCATATGTTTCGGTACCTTCGAGATCAAGTGCATGCCTAGTAGAGTACTTGCGAACAGTGTGTAACAGAAAACTGACCAGTGGCAAAAAGGTTAAGTACTGTAAAGTGAGGATTTGGATAAAATTTTGTGGCAACTTTTTTATAACTACAGCATACTTGAATCAGCTTAGGATATAAGAGTTGGAAGCCCAGGAAAATGCTCCAGAAGTTAGGCATAAGGATGTGGAATGAAGATTTGCCAAAATCTTAGTGTAGTGTTCACCAAATATTGAGTTTCTGTTGGTTCTTGGTAATGAAGAAGTAAGAGGAACGTCATTGTTCGAGTGTGAGCGTTTCAAGATCAGACTTGACCAACACTGGAGCAGGTTCAGATACATTCAGGAGCCAGTGCATGCCCAGTACTTGCCAACAGTGCATAACAGAGACTTAACCGATCGTCCAAGCAGCTAACGAGCCGATTAGTGGTGAGGATAAAAGTATGTACAGTACAGGTGTTTGTTACATCAGTTGTTTTAGGTAAGAAAACTGAATGCCTTTCTTCACAAAAGATATACAAAACCATTTTTTTTTTCATTTTTCATTTTATATTTTGTATCAATATTTAAGTACATATTACCAGAATGCAAAAGTTTTCTTACTAAATTATATCAATATCGTATTGGAACCATTGTGTAATTGACACTGAAGAAATTCCTTTTAAATTACACCAGTTTTTCATGTAACTTGAGGTTTTGTAATTTAATAACCCATAAAAAGAATTCTTGGCAAAATGGATTAATCTATCAGTACATGACAAGTAAAGTCTCTTCCTTCTGTGCAGTGTCAGTCGTAGTTCTGCTGTAAACTATATGTAAAGAGAATCAGAGACATCTACCTTGCTAAAGAATCGTGGTACCCTGTATTAGAAACAACACGTAGTACACGTCTCGGTTCAATAGTAGTACCTTTAATGTACAAATACTGACCGACTTGTTGTACCATTAATAAACTCTTAAAATAAAATGGATTGGAACTTGTGAAAAACACATTGTCAAGTTGTGCTTTAAAAATTATTGGATGTGATTGACTGCTGTGCTGTGTATGATAACTTTGTAAGGTCTTCAAGAACAGCTCCGGTGTTCAAGGTATGGTTTAATCACCGACTAAAAGGGGGGTTGAAGAATGCTTACTACTATACAATATAAGTGAATTAAAATGTAAGTAATGTATAGTCGCTAATTAATTGCAAGGAAATCAACTTATCACTATTAAGAGAACTTCATATTACTGTATAATGTGCAGTGAAACCTCCATATAACGGACTTCTCTCTCCATATAATCCGTTAAATAAATGTTTCGCTGAACAGTATACATTTTGTTGAAGATTGGCAGTGACCTTAGACTTCATCTTAAATATATCTTAAAGACAGAAATATTTAAGTCTTCCATGTTCATTCAGTAAGTAGTGTGCAGCTGACAGTGAGCAAGACTATAATTTATGGTTCCACAACAAGATGAAACTTTAAAAAGATGACTCGAGCACAATGGTTGCTGGTGTCAACTTTGTTGAATGTTATGGATGAGATTTAGTATTTTATGGAAGAACGAGTTGGCTTTGTACAGTGAACATTTATTTGTTATCCCATGGCATTATGGCCTTGAGTCTGGTGTCACTTACCACAGGCAGGTTATGGTAATAAGAACCTTGAGAGTGAAGTATAGCACCAGTTTTCTTTACAGTATGTGAGATTATGCCAGTAATTACTAAATGAAGTATTTGTGTTTCAAAGTGTTTCAGTAATTTTCTTAACTAAAGTAATTGCCGAGATTAAACATTATTCTTCCTAAAATAAAGTATGAGACTGGCAATATTGTGAGTGATTTCGAAAACTGTTTGCCACAACTACAAGGACATGTCTAAGTATGTATTAAAAATTTAATTGAGATTGAATAACAACACAACTCTGCTAACTCTAATGTATCTGAAACTAACTTCAAAATTCAACTTTCATGGTACAGTACTGTACAACATCTAGTGGCTAGTGGCAAATCAACTTCTGTAAATCCATGTAGAAATTCTTAGCAAAATCTCAAATAATTCTTGTATGAGTTTTAACAATTGAAAATGGCTGAAACATTTTAGGAGCTGCTCCCTCTAAAGAGAATCTTCCAGGGAAGGCAGTGCATCAAGGGAGAAGACAGATTTATAATAACAATATGAAGCCGCAGCTTATCAACACAGGTGTGCTGATGCTGTGATTATTAATCATAATAAAAGTTTTATGAAGTGCATATTGTTGTTGTTATAACATAGCTTAGTTTATATGACACACATATTACTTGTCCATTTTATGCATGATAACGTGCTGCACATAGTAAAGTCGTACAAAGATTTGGCACTTTTGATTATGGTTTAACACCCATATCGGCTGTAGACAATGCTGACAGAAATGAGGCGGGCCATTATCAAGTTAATCTCCTAATAAGAGCCACATACCTTAAATATTATATTTTCATATAAATTTTTGTATCAGTTTACAGTATCTACAGTATAAGGACTTGTTTCACCTTATTGTGTTGAAATCATATGCAGTACTGTCCTTTACTTATCCTATTCATAACTTGTAGCATATCGGTACTTTTTCCGTGTTATTTCTTTGCGGTAATGTACTGAAGAATGGTATTGAAACTATTTTCTTTTCCGTGTACTGCATTTATTTAATCTGCATCATGTCTATTGAAAGGCCAACAACTGAACATGGGCAATGACATTTAATCTTTAGAACTGTACCATGTTACATGCACTGGTAATACACTATACACTCCACAGATTATATAATGAAAACTTTGCATACTGTTAAAAAAATTTTTTGGAAAATTAATGACAATCTTTGTGAAATAAACATTGAAGACAAAAGGCATCTTTGATAATGGCCAAAGCATTTGTCCAACACAGTGAACATACAAAATGTGCTGAAAGTGTGATATGATGGTCCTTTATTGTTGAATGGGCAGATGTTCCAAGCAAATGCCCCCCCCTAACATAAAGAAGAAAAACAAAAGAGCTATAAAACAATTGGAAGAATGTTCCGGTGAAAAAAAAAATATAATAAAATATTAACATGTACATTCTTTGGAAGGTTGTGTCTGTCTCTTTCCCATATCATGTATTTATACTGTGTAAGATAATGTGAGTGAGTTGGTGTACACTCACTAAAAAATTATCCGGCACCCGTGTCCTATTGTATCACGCCGTAAGGGTGCCGAATAATTTTTTATTGGGTATACAACATATTGGCACACAACGGGATGGCCTCTCTGGCTGGTCTGTACTGTACACCCACTAAAAAATTATTCGGCACCCTTACGCCATGATACAATGTGACATGGGTACCGAATAATTTTTTGGTGGGTGTACGGGGTACATCACGTTTTAACCTCCAGGTGAACTGTACAAACTGTCTCCATTAACATTTCATTACTGTGTGATATGTCTACACATTATTTATGTAGCACAAAGTTATTCTGTTCATTGAAAGGACAGATTTTCATATACAGTACCTGTATCTTTAACTCCTATTTTAAAATACTGTACAGTACGTACAGTAATTTCAGCTCATCATTTGATTCACACACATTTATTTTGTTAGTTGTTGTCACTTTGAAGGAAGTTCTGACAGCCATTTTCAGCACATGAAGTCCAAGTAAAATTTGACTTTAGTTAAACCTTATTTCAGTTTATTTATGCATTATGCTGGATTTATAATTGAAATTGCAAGGTACAGCAATATGTTGATTAGCAACTTCTAAAATATTTGGTTGGCATATGCATTGAACATTTGTAAACCCATGTAAGTGTGGAAAATGATGAACTTTTGATGGGGTGTTATTTACCATCCAAGATACAGTACAGTATTTTCATCATGTAGCATCTCAAACTTGGGTCGTATAATCTGTCATAAGTATTAAAGAGTTCTCATTGGGTGGGATTCCAGATAAGACAGATTAAGTCATCTGTAATTGTTTTATTTGCCTCTAGGCAGCTATGGGATAAGTGTGGGTGGCCATAGGGCATGTACAGATGAGGTAGTACAGTACAGTATCTGCTAAAATTTTGGCAAATAGCAATTGCTTTGGCTCCTATAAAAGATGCATAAAATTTCTGTGTAATGCACTGAGACTCATGATGTGTAATATCTTTATGCATTGAATTAATTTTCTAATCTAAGGTAATATTATGATTATAAAGGTTTATCTATGCATATTAAATTAGGCTTTTAGTACAGTAAATAATACTGTATATCTACTCTTAGTGTCGTCTTCATATTTTGTGATAATGAAGATACAGTATGTCTATTATGTATCTATAAACTTATGTATACAATATGCGTATGTACAGTATGCATGTGTGAGTAAATGTGACTTCCTAAATATTAACAAACCTGGTGATATAACAAAACTGATATTTTAATATTAAATTAATGTGTATCATATAAGGTGCCAAGTTAAACATCACATCAGTCACAATTATAGTTTTAGAAAAACTATATGGCCATAATTATTATTGTACCTTAAATTTTGTGATTTTATTGTACACCAGAGTGAAATTACAGTATTACTCTTAAGAAATCAGCTACCTAATGAATATAAGATAATGCAACTACCTAAAGAATCTCAACAGATACATATATACAGTATATATATATATATATATTTAACACTAATAATGGGGAGATATTTAACTGATATGGGAGCAGGTGGTTGCAGTTATAGGCTGGTCCTATGTTGCTTTAGACCGAGAGAGCAAACTGTTGCACATAACTATATGCAAGTGACCTACAGGTGCACCGTATACTGTTGTGTGCTAGTAAACTACAGTATTTCCTTGCAGTTGAATTGTATTTTTTTCTGTATAGTTACATGTTTATAATAGAAAGGGGATGCAGAGATCACCCTTTCTGAATTTTATAATAGAAAGGGGATGCAGATATCACCTTTTCTGAGTTTGTGTCCTAGGAGGTGAAAAGTTCATATACTATGTACAGTACTGTATCCCTAACCAAAATATCACCACCCAAAGTTTGGTCTAGAAAAGCAACCATTCCTACTGTAAATTTCTTTTCTTTAGGTTAACTTTAATTGTTTTTTTGTGATCGTTGTTTGTATGTTCTAAATGATATTATGTAACTAGCATTTTTAATGTATACAATAAATGTACATGTATTATGTAGCAAATAATTACTTTTAACAGGAATCCACATTTTATGGCATGATACTCTTGTATTGGGGATATAATTTGCACAAACATGTAAGTGACTGTGTTATTAAAATAGAAATATTTAACTTTGTACACCATGAAATTGGTTGTCCATTTAAACTAAATTCTAAAGAATTAACTTTGTTAAAGAATAAATAAGTTATAGTTTTATGCTTCTCTAAAATAATAATTATTTTTTTTACCTCCAAACTTGAGTTCTTCCTCAAATATTCCCCGTAATCTCTTCAGTGTACGTAATCTCTTCAGTGTACGTGCTGTATATAAATATAATATGTAAGGTAGTCATTGACACTTGCATAGAACCATTAAAGATTATTTCAAGAATGGTTTGATTTCATATACTGCAACCTGAAGTTAGAAATTAGCTTGAAATATGCATAGGAGTGCAGCATATACTGTATCTTGAAACTACACATTGTATCTGATAACTTCAGTAACAATCTATAGTCTGCAGGTCTGAACTCCTAATGTTAGTCACTACAGTAGTACAGTACAAAATTTGGAATGTTTAAACTAGATACAAGTGTAAAATTCAATATTGACTAAAATGGTGAAATGTGAAGTGTCAGGTACTGTACAGTATGTACTACTAAAGGCTGAGGAATCTTGCCACCACTCAATTGTTATGTATCAATTATCTTACACCATGTCAGCCCAACCGGTTAATTAGCTGGGAAGTGATTTAGAGGATAATGTAAAGCATTCCCACAGGAGCAATGAGGAATGCGAGTCAATTGTCGTGTGTTTGGCTCTAAACTGGCATTACCAAATCGCTAATTGATTCATAGCTTTGAAATATCTAGGGCAACTCCATTTAACCAAATCAACTTGAGAGAGAGGACACAGGTCAAAAAAGCTCCACCTAGTAGGGTAAAGCATGGATAACCTTGGGGTAAAGGTGGAGGAGACGGTTAGCCGAGAATGCATTTACAGTATATTGTAGTTCATTTTCCCAGAGTTATTCTTTGGTCGATATAAACTAATTATATTTTTATCGTCCAATGATTCCAAATACCAAAGGTAAGTTCTTTCTCTCTAATATGCTGGGGGGCTCTGCAAGGAATTTAGGTAGGTTTCATTGGTTAGGTCAGGTTCTGTGCATTCTCATTTCCATTCTCGTGTTTAGCATAGTTCAAATCAGTGTCATCAGATTTCTCTTGCCAAATTATACTAGACTACTTAAAAATGTGCCAAGATCAGCAGAAATTATGATAAAAGTGGATAAAGTTAGGTCCTAAGAGAGTACAATTTTGTATTCTCGCCTCATAATGACTTGTGAAGGTAATTTCAAATAATGTAAAAAGCTCTAAGGAAGATTTGTATTATTAAAGCTGAATAAGTAAACAAGTGGTATAACACATGCACACAAAAAGAAATAAAGGGGTTTAGTAGTAGACATAGGGAAAATTTGAAGTTAGATATTTAAATGACATGATGAAGATATCACAAAACTATTGGAGGATTTTAGCCATTTGAAAACTGACCTAAGCACAAAAGTTTATGAAAAGTTTTAGTACAACATGAAACTTAATATACTTGAAATTAAGTTTTATTGTAATTATTTGAAATGAAAATAAAATAACTTGATTTTTATATAAGACATTATTTAACTTTGAAATATGGTAATTAAATAAATTTGTAATTTCCACATGGTGCTGTGCTGCTATTATTTTTACTTTTGTTACGTACTTGTAAATACTGTATCTTTATTCATTGATTTGATCATAGCAGGTGATGGCTCAAATTTCACATATTTGTCTACACGATCAGGAAGGTCAGTGGACAGACCCTCCCCCCCCCCCTCCACCGTGGTGGGAGCTGGGAGGATTAATGCCAGGTGTGCCAAATTTAGCTGGAATTAGCCAAATTGTGAAATATGCTAAAATTATGCTAGTATAAAAATTTTACTCAGATTATGTTAACAGCATGAAATTATTGTAGATCTGGTAACACTGATTCAACTTGTACCTCCAGAAATTTGGGTTCAATTCCAATATTTACTTCTACTGCATTGTTCCCCACCTTTACCTTTTACTACAAAGTCGAAATACGAATTAGAGAGCATGATTGTTTAAAATGCTGATACATTGTTTTGAAAAAAAAATAGTAATAAAAAAACGCATGGGAACTACTTTGTGCAGCACTCGTAGGGACGCAAAACACAACACCTCGCTGCTCACCTGTCCTCGTTAGTGTGACCCAGGCAGGTATCTACGGCGTGAGTCGCTCGTGTCTGTAGCGACCTCAACGACTTTAGTTACCGTATATTTGTGTTTCGTGCATTTATGTCGCGTTATACCTTTTAAAACTTTGACAAATGAGGGCAAGACGACTAGGAAGTGATCCATTAACGTTTCCGTGAAAATAAGCGAGGAAAACTACTAGACGTGTTACAGAACAAGCTGTGGACGATGGCCGGTCGCTTGTCTTATATTAGGTAAGTAACACGAAACTTAAGCATTTACTAGTGCAAGGGTTGGGAATTATTTTGTATATTTTCGTAGCTGTTTATGTTGCACTCGACATGTAGTGGGCGATTTACAGTTGTAGCTTGAAATAGTTTTTCATTGTTATGTGCAGTTTTACGGGATAGGCCTACCACTTACTGAACGGTTTTAAATTCCGTTATGGTATTGTTAGTAAAAATTTTGTACTTCCGAAGATAGCATTCTGATTACTTGCCTATACCAACATATCTACGTACAGTTACGGCCATATGTCCTTTGCCAGGCTCTTCTGTGGCAACGTTGGGATGACAAGGTTCAGGTTTGACAAGTTCGTATGATTTTAATCAATAATCTCCTTTCTTATGTATTAATTCCCATTGAATATTTTGTATTACCGAGTCAACATTTGATGACTGCTGGAAGGAATCATGCATGTGATTGTTCGATGGCTGGGTGGGTAGTTACGCTCGTTCTTCTTCGTGATTGGCTGAGCGGATAGGTGTGTGGCGAGTGCAGCTCATCCACCAACACAGTTTAAAGGGCACGTGTCGGATTTTTTATGAAATTTCTCAGCCGGAGTCATGCTTCTAAATGTCGTTACTGGATATTAAATTTTGAAACCACATCCAGCATGCTATCTACTATATGGTTTCATGTTTTTTTTTTTATTTGTTGTTTAAAAGCAATGGTTCCTGCAACACAACTAGTGGCCGACACCCTGCGTTATCCCTGCACCACCACTACTTTTGTCTTGTTCTTGTCTTTAGTTGGTGTCCTTAGAACTTTGTTAAATTTTTCTTCGTGTGTCTTTTATTTTTTATTTTGTTTTTCGGGAATTAGTCCACCCGGGCACAGGTCGAACGACCCACAACGGGGGTATGAAATATTCAGTTAGTTTGTGTTTGTTTTCATGTTGATTTACCCCGTGAATGGTGCAGTCAGGGTAGTGTAAATATATTATTGTTCTTTGTTCATCATTTGTGTGGCCTCTTCATATTTGTTTCGTTTAAAACCAACTGTCAGTTTAATTAAACAATGGGCCAGGTTGTTTCACGGTGTGTATCGCACACGCCGTGTGTGTGTGTCACCTACACCACCCACTCTTGGGCGTACTCAGAAATTTCTTCAGAGGGCAAAGTTATATACTAAATGGTCCATCACCCATTGTTTATATATTCGGCTACATCATTTGTACTGAACTGAAACCGGGTACCCTATTAGACTTGGATTTTTATGACTTTTTGAGCTAATTTAATTTGGAACATGTTTAGCTTAGGTTCAGGATAGACTTCATCAAAGAAAATTATATGCAGCCATTCTGAATATAATAGTAATGATAACACTAATGTATAATAGACAACGATAATAATTAAGGTGAATTATAATTCTGAAGTTGACGAATGACGGAGCATGTTGTCTGGTGTTGATTTTTTCTAAAACTGAAACAAAATTAGGATTAGTAAGTTTGTTACGAATATTAGGGAATTAATATATATATATATATATATATATATATATATATATATATATATATATATATATATATATATATATATATATATATATATATATATATATATATAACAGCTTTAATACAATTGAATGTTTACCAACCAAAAAACAAAAATGATTTTAAGCAAATTAAAAAATAAACAAATAAAAGACCATCGTACCGTAAATAGAAACAACTTAAATTATTTGGCTTGCGATGGAACAATCTAAAGTTTATTTTAAATCGAGGTGTAGCTGTAATATACTTTACATAATTAGAGGCAAAGTTCAAATAGAAATTTGTACACAGTACTTGGTAACGGTTGTCTTCCTGTACCTGGTTCACACTAGAGGTGGCTTCTTCAGCAAGATTTGCTGTCTCAGTTGCTACCGTTTCTACTCCCTGTAAAGATACAACATTTTCACAGCAATTTTTAAACATTTACTACATTCTAAAAAGTATCAGAACAAGCTGACACAGGTTTGAATATGTCTAATTTATAGTAATATCCTTTACATATAGAGAGGAAAGGTTCAAAAGAAAATTTGTGCTCTTTGGTACCTGTTACTTGTATGTATCTTACCTGCTTCACACCAGCAGCGGCTTCTTCAGTAACATTTGCTGTCTCAGTAGCTACCTTTTCGACTCCCTGTGAATATAACAAGGGAAGGTACTGATTTGTTTTTCTTGTGGGTTGATTTGAAACTTATTTGTAATTATTTATGGGTTTGTGAATATTTCATATGATTATAAAAATATTATTATAGGAGTGACACAGGACAGCTAAAGAGGTTGAGTAAGTTGAGAGAAATTTCATATGAAAACTTGTGTAGCTGCCTGGTAACTGTATCTTACCTGCTTCACACCAGCACCGGCTTCTTCAGTTAGATTTGATGTCTCAGTTGCTACTTTTTCGACTCCCTGTTGGAGATATAAAATTAGGAGGTACCGGGATATACTGATAAAACTAAGTCTAATTATTAAAAAAATAAAATAAAACTCATAAGTCAGTGTTATGCTCCATGTTAAATAACCCTGAAAGTTGAAATGCTTGAATGTTTATATAAGAACAACGATAAATCAGTAGAAAGAAAAGATTATTCATTTTTTCACACTTCATTGTTAAACAGAATAATTTTTAGTATTCTTGGAAGATCAAGTCATGAAATTAATGTACTATATATAAAAAAATCGTTGGACAGATTCATAAAATGTTCTTCCGCTGTTTATGATTAATATAAGTTCATTGTTATCAACTGCTTGTCAAGAACATGGCAGCTACATTACTTCATAACTGTTGAGTGATAGTCTCACCTGCGTAGCGACGTTCACATTCTCTGCCTCAGCTTTCTCGAGTTCCTATGGGTAATGTTGTGATTGTGTTAATGTGTTAAATCCTCCTTATCTATCTTTTTCACACCTGCTTTACTATTTGTATGTGTGGCCTGAAAGAAATAATGATTGAGTGAGGTTTGAGTAATATTAAACTTAAGAAGAATGGGAATACCTAACGATGGTAACAACTCGTGTATCTCATCAAAATGAGTAATTTGTGTGATCTACACGCACTTGAAACATGAGGGAGGGTGTGTGGTGCTTGTGTTAGGCTAGCATCCTAAACCTGTGTGTGTGTTTCAGGTTTCGTTTGTAAGTTATAGAACAGATTAAATATCTCCATGGTTTGTGGAATTGTGACAAGTACAGTATATAGTGGTTTATAACCCTGGTAGGTGAAGCGCCTAAAAATAATGGCAGGAGTCAAGTAGGTAATATTATGGAGAGCAGAGCGTTGCAGTATTGGGATTGTCTCACCTTCTGCACTTCTTCACTAATGTTGAGCTCGGACACCCCCTTTTCTGCCTCCTGTGAGGTAGTACAGTACAGTATATTGTTGTTACATTTACTGATCTTTAGTAAGCCCTTAACTTATTTGGCTCTTTTGTAGCAGTCCAGCATATATCTTCTCTTTCTGGGTGCATTATGAATATATACTGAATACATTTACCTTGAAATCAAGTTTTTTCTTATTCTGAAAGATAAGTTTTCATGAATTTGGGCTGTTAAAAAAACGATAATCATTCAGTCGATGCATTAACCAGATGACCAGTCCTTCAAACATCTGTTGTATATCACAAGGACGCTTACTCAGATGTTCTCACCTCCATGATGTTGACAGCTTTCTCGGCCACCGCTTTGTTGGCTTCCTGTGATTTAAGTCGTGAGTGAGTACATACTAAATAGAGATGGTTGTTAAGCACAGTGTCTACCCCCCCCCTCCCTTCCTCCTGTCTCTGTCACTTTCTTTGAATTTATAGATAATTCAATGTATACAGATCTCTAAATATGGAGTGATGTGTACATTTATAACATCTTAGAATCAAGACAAACTAAGTTAGGCTATTTTGCTTGTGAGCCTATTTATGAGTTTTGATGTACAGGTGTATTATAGGTATATTTGAACGTATAATTTTTCTGCTATAGCGACATTTTTTTTATTAAAAAAGCTGTCGTGTAAGAGTACTGTATTATCTATTATAGTGGTACAAAGTAATTTGGTATATCCTCACCTTGGCGGCACTGACAACGTTGATGGACTGCACCTTCGCCAATGCCTGCAGGGGATAGTGGGTGTTGTGTTACTGGCATCTCTTTTTTTTGATATATAATGATATATTTCACTCATGGCAGATGGACAACAGGGATAGTCTCAGTCCTCTCCAGCCCCGCCAACTGTTCAAAAATTTCCCACAGAGCGTGTCGGAAGGCTTGAGCATTCCTTGATACATTCATCTTAAACTGGGAAGATAGTTTTATCGCTCACTATACACCGACCCCCTTCCCCAATTTTGTTTCCAGGCGCTGCTTAAAACAAAGAGTACTGTACCCACCCTTTCCCTTCTAGTTCAGGCAATATCTCATAAAATTATTGGACTTGGAGACTGAAATTAGTACAGAATAGTAACGAAGTGCCCCCCTTTTTTTTTACTCGTAGTGGCATGACCTGGGGCGGCGTATATTGAACGGTGCACTATATGGTATATTCATTTAAGTTTTGGTAAGTGTCCAATAATGATAAAGATACAGTATACGATGGAAACTCACATTGGTATTTCTAGCTTTGGTGGCGAATGACCCCATCCTGCTGAACTGCTGCTGCTGATGTCGGTTGAGTTGATCTGTGACAAAATTACATATGACAGAATAATAGTGGGGACTGTGTTAAGTTAGTGGGGACTATGTTAAGTTAGTGGGGACTGCTAAGTTAGTGGGACTGTTAAGTTAGTGAGGACTGGTGAGCAACGGTTGCTGTCGTTAGTTGATTCTCTCTCTCTCAGTATCTATCTCTTTAATTCTCTCTCCTATGCTTTTCTCGTCCTCCCTCCCTCCCTCTCTCTCTTTCTCTCCTTTTAGTCTCACTTTATATGCAGGGAACAACGTTTTCTTAAAGTACATATATCAAACACAAGCGGGAAACAGCAGCTGTACTCTGCATTATTCATGAAGTCATTTGCATGTTCGTGTTTATTTTTCCTATGCATGGATTTTTTATGTAAAGTTTTAGTTTATTTGGAACCAGTCGACTTCTTGGACGCTGTCGAGGCTGTCGAGAGTTTTCTTAATCGACGCTAAAACAGACGGTGATGTATGTTAATGGAAACACACACACACACATACACACACACACCTGGTATACATGTAACCCAGAAAAATATATAAAGGAGGATACTGTATATATTTTGATCTTAATACACACCTGACCTCCTGCATCACACCTGACTGCCTCATTAAGTTGTATTATCTCACATGCAAGTGGGACATCACTCATGGGTAAAGTATCCATCATGGAACTAAACAAAATGTGTACAATATGTTCTTAAAAGTCTCACGCTGATGTAAATAAGTATAGTTTGTAGTGCCTTAGATATGCAGTAGAGGGTTATTCAGAAATTCCTAAAAGGTGACGGTATCGTATAGAAACACCAGCTCTATTATCGTTTTAAGTACAGAATACAGTGTAGGTATGATGACCTAACCTTACCAGAAGCATCAGTACAAGTTAAATTTTTAATACAGAATATGAATACAGTAATTTCCCTGTATTGATGATTATTATATTGATACAATAATACATTATACTTACCACAAGAGGCGCTAGGCTAGACCATGAGTATTTCACCGGTCTGTTGTATGATAGTCACCACCACACACAGATACTCCAGTCAGTCTTCCTGCCGTTAAGTCCACGGGTCAACTAGCTCTGGCCGGCACTCGGTGGGTGGGGTCGTGAAGCTGTGAGACCATTAGTGGAATTTGGGTTGTAACTCATCACTACCTGGATCTACATGAACAGGAGGTGGGGGGGGGTCGCCTGATCTGGAACGCGTGATTTATGATGGGTGATAGTGACTGGGGTACGGGGTGGTGGTGATAATGAAGGTAATGGTGAGGGATGATGGTGATGGTGGATGGGGGAGGATGATAATGGGTTGTGCTTATATAGTAGAGCGTATGGTAGTGCAGGGAATGGTGGTGGTAATAGTAGTAGGTCAGAAAGGGTGTGTGATAGTGGTAGTTATAGGAGAGAGGAGGGGGTTAATGGTAGAGGATTGATTGTTGATTTGTGTTATTGATCAATGATTCGTTGTTTGATCCTATTATTGATTTGTTTGATTGAGTGAAGTGTTTGTTGTCCATTCAAGTGTGTTGATATATACATAATAACTCCATTAGATTGTTCCTGAAATACAATGAACTGATTATCATTGTATCTTCAGCCAAGGAGAGAGGGTTGAGGTGGCCGCCATCATGTGTTGTATATAGGTCAAACTAAGATATTCTGTGATGATAGTAATTGATTGTTTTGGTGTACTGAATTATGGAACAGCTGATAGACTAAATGACTCAATTTTTTGTATTTGTCATTGTTTGTGTGTGTTTTTTCGAGTATAGTGTATATATATATGTGTGTGTGTGTCATTGTTTATCATACAGTACGCGATACAACCAAAACTCTATCTCTCTCAACATACACTACTATAACACCTGGACTCTGGAGGCCAGTATACAGTATAATCCACACGTTAAATATTTCCCCTTAACTTTGTCTCAGTACAAGATTGACGCCATTTTAAAACGTGACATATCCGCGCCATAGCTAAACCGAGCCCTTGGTACTGTAGATACTTTCTCATAATATATCCGAATTAGAGGAAAATGTTAGGGAATAAAACCTCTGTTAGTCGGTTTAATTGTGTTCACTACTTGACCAGACAGATTTATCCGACACAATAATGATGATAATAACCAGGTCATGATAATTTTCCCGCCACAACAAATTACCGAATAATTATGTTTTCAAGACACTGATGACTTCATGTTTATGATGGTCGTTCAGGAGTCAGAATCAGCCGTGTATTCTCTGATATTATTTTTTATCTTGGCATGCATTAGAAGAATGCATGCCTAATGTATATGTATCCATGAGAATTATGTATGTATTTATGTATGTATGTAAGGTAATATACACATATACATACGTATATTACCTTACTTTATGAAATCTGTTGAATAAATCGCCTTGTCAAAGTGACAATACCCCAACATGCCAATTTTCTATGATGCGAGGAAGAGATACATTTTCTTCCTCGTCTAAAGGGGAAACTAACATATATTCTCCGCTGTATTCGTACTGGGTGGTGGAAGAGGGAGGGTGGTGAAGGAGGAAGGGTGGTGAAGGAGGAAGGGTGGTGAAGGAGGAAGGGTGGTGGAAGAGGAAGGGTAGTGAAGGAGGAAGGGTGGTGAAGGAGGAAGGGTGGTGAAAGAGGAAGGGTGGTGAAAGAGGAAGGGTGGTGTAAGAGGAAGGGTGGTGAAAGAGGAAAGGTGGTGAAAGAGGGAGGGTGGTGGAAGAGAGAGGGTGGAAATTGGTGGAAGAGGAAGGATGATGGAAGAGGGAGGGTAGTGATGGAGGGGGAAGGGTGCTTGAAGAGGAGGGATGATGGAGGATGAAGGGGTAGTGATGGAGGAGGAAGGGTGGTGGTAGAGGGTGATGGGAGAGAGAGGGTACGGAGGGAGGGTGATGGAAGAGGTAGGGTCGTGAGGGAGGGGAGGTACTCAGTAAGGACCACAACAGACGGTCTCTTGTGATATATGCTTACAATAATCTATAATAAACTGCAAAAAAAAATCATATCTCGGTATACACAAAAACGTGGTGGGTTCAATGCATTTTATTTATTTATTTATGTATTTTTATGATATATACACTTTTTTTTCATTTGTATATGACGTCATTATGCAGTTTTTTTTTCATTAGTTGCCTTTTACCAGGATAATTGAAGATACGACAGGTAGAATCTCAATGTAATTTTGATGCCATTTTGAAGTTGTTTCTCGTAAGTCAGGGGTCGGTTTGGTGCGTTTATTTCGTCTCCGGTTACGAGGAAAATTCGCGTTAATTACTAATTTTTAGGAATCGGTCCTAATAATCTATGTACTGTGTAAGGAAGGTTTCATGTCCACTCGAGTTGAATTTATATGTTCTTGTGATTTTTGTCACTGGTGGTGGTCATTTTTTTTTCTTGTGTTTTATTATCTTTATTTATTATGCATATACACAACACCACAATACACACACACACCACAACACACACACACAACACACACACACACACACACACACACACACACACACACCACACACACACACACACACACACACCACACACACACACCACACACACAACACACACACACACGCACACAACACACACACACACACACACACACACACACACACACACACACACACACACACCACACACACACACACACACACACAACACACACACACACACCACAACACACACACACAACACACACAACACTACAATACACACACACACCACAACACACACAACACACACAACACACACAACACCACAACACACACACACACAACACACACCCAACCACCACACACCCAACACACCACAAAACCCACACACACACCCAACACACACACACCACACACACCCCACACACACCACAACACCCCACACACCCAACCCCCCCACACACCCAACCCCCACACACCCAACCCCCCAACACACCCACCCCCCACACACCCAACCCCACACACACCCAACCCCCACACACACCCAACCCCCCCACACACCCAACCCCCACACACACCCACCCACACCCCACCCCACACACACCCACCCCCACACACACCCACACCCCCACACACCCAACCACACACACCCACACACACACACACCCCCACACACACACACCCACACCCCACACACACACCCAACCCCCACACACACACACCCAACCCCCCCACACACACCCACACCCACCCAACACACACACCCCACACACACACCCAACCCCCCACACACACACACCCACACCCCACACACACACCACACACACACCCATCCCCCACACACACACCCAACCCCCACACACACACCCACACCCCCACACACACCCAACACACACACCCACACCCCACACACACACCCAACACACACACACCCCAACACACCCCACACACACACACCCACACCCCACACACACACACCCACACCCCCACACACACACACACACACCCACACACACACACCCACACCCCACACACACACACCCAACCCCACACACACACACACCCAACCACCCCACACACACACACCCACACCCCCCACACACACACCCAACCCCCACACACACACACACCCAACCCCACACACACACCCACACACACACACACCCAACCCCCACACACACACCCAACCCCCACACACACCCAACCCCCCCACACACACCCAACCCCCCACACACCCACACACACACACCCAACACCCCACACACACACCCAACCCCCACACACACACCCAACCCCACACACACACAACCCACACACACCCAACACACACCCACCCCCCACACACAACCCCCCCACACACATACACGCATCCCCCACAATAACATAGATTGGGTTTTTACTTAATAAAATATAAAATGCTCTTGCGTCTGGCAGCTGTGTTGTATGTGGCGGCAAATGTCGTTGTTTATGGTATCGTACCTCACAGTGGCGCTGCTTACCAGTATTATATTTATATATATCTTAAAGCCTTGTTTATTTCCGTAATTTGAAGCGATATATGGGCCATAGATAATAAGATTAATATAATTTTTTGTGAGCCAGAAGAAAACATGAGAAATTTAATGAAAAAGGCGAAGATATTAATGGACTCACAAGAAAAAGCTTTGGTCAAATTTTTAGTGTAGATAAATAGATAAGCTTGATATACGGTAAAATCATTATATTTGTCCACACTGACCCATCATATACATAGAATGATAAGGTTTAAGCCGTCTTGAGGAAGAATACCCACAAGAAATGCCTTAAAAGCGATCATTTTTAAAAGTAAATAAATGGGGAAAAATAATGATATCTATGATTTTGTTGGTATTTAAGGAGAGAGAGAGAGAGAGAGAGAGAGAGGGGTCAGGATTTTGAGCTGCAAGTTAGGGCGTAAACGCCATAGCTATCTCTGGCGTTCGAGTTGCCGTAAATTTTGTGGCGAAAATTCGTGAATCAATGAAGGTGGAGAGCGTGTCCTGCTGATAGTGGTGAGGGGGAGGGAGATAGAAGACGAGGAGAGAGAAAGAGAAGATTAAAGAGAGACATTGAAGGGTGGAGAGAGGGAGCTATGAAAGAAAAAGATGAGGGAGAGATTGAAGAAGGAAAGAACTCTAGATATAGACGAGAAAGAGAAAACATGTATAGAGGAGTAAGAAAATAAGAGACCCAAGAGGAAGAAGGGATAGAGAGATCGACTCATCTTAATTCTCTTATCTTTCTCCTCCTCCTCTTCCTTCCCCTTCCTTCTCTTCCTCTGCTTCCCATTGCTCACTGCCGTAAAGACAGATAAGCTGGTCTGTCTGTCTGTTTGTTGAACCACCACCTGGGCAGCACCTGTGTGGGGAGGAGGGAGGGAAGAAGAGAGTGAAAGAAGGGAGAGAGTGGGGGATGAAGGGAGGGAGAGAAGGGGAGAGAGTTAATTAAGGAGAAGATGCGGGGCTTAATCGAATGGAGTGGTGGAAGAGGAGTTGGAGTGAGTGGTGGTAGTGGAGTGGAATGGTGGAGTGAGTGTGGTGGAGATGGAAGGGTTAGGGTGAGTGTGGTGAATATAGTGAAAATGTAGGAATTGTGGTAAATGTGTTGTGTGTGTGGGGGAGGGGCTGCTAGAGGAAGG